AACAATTGGCTCACAACTCTATGCTTTATTAAATTATCATATATACACAAATATAATTTTGGTCACTAAAACCTAATTTTTTATTTTTCTCGAAAAGTCAAGCAATATATAGATAATAAAGAACTGTACAAGGAGCCACAATGAGAGGAATGGGCCAACAGGCCATAGAAGATGACAACACAACAAGAAACCCAACAGGTCAAAACCAAAATAAATAACCCAGACTTCACCTAACTAGACAAGCCCAAATAAGGATTAACCAACAAACTAGAGCATAATGGAATGACCCAACAACCCAAACAGAGCATCATGTAACCATTGTATAATGGCTAATAGACCAGAGCTTCAACTCACTGATTCATGGCTTCGTCAGCGTTCTGGTAGCAGTTCGGTGGATGCGGCAGTGGTTGGATGAAGGATGACGGCATATCTTATACTCGATGGGCACGTTGAGCTGTCAAACCTTTTCTTGAAGGATTTGGAGAGCAATCTCTCGCTAACTGAGTTTCTGATTTCTAACAAGAGTGAGTGTTGAGATTTACAAATCCATTTGAATATTCGTGACTTTCTTTCAATCCAAACATGGTAGATGGTTGCTGAGAGTGCTAATTCGTTGATGGAGTTCCCGACGCGGTTCCTTTTTCAATGATGAGAGACCTATAAAATTATGTTCATCATTCCATGATAGAGGGCTGGCGTGAAATCCACAAGTGTTTGAATGTAATTCCAAAGAATGGGACTTGTGGAAAAACAGAAAGTGCAGTGATTTGGCCAATGAATTCCTGTCATGTCAAATGTGGAAAGGCAATTGAGGATAACAAGCCATCAGATCAGGGCGGACCCAGAAATTTGGTTCCGGAAACATTAAACTTATAAAATAATTTTTTTTTCAAGCAGGTCCAAATTATAATAGTGTAACAACATTGTATTAGAATAAGTGAATAAAAAGATTAAAAAAAAAAAAATGATTATTGCATATAAATTATGCATGAGTGGAAAAAAAAAAAAAAAAAGTTTAAGGAGAAAAATGAATTTTTTAAGAAGAAAATAAAATAAAAAGAAAAAAATATGAGAAAATTTTGAAGGAAAAAATACGTTTTAATTGTAGAAAGAGAATGCAAAATTTTTTAAAGATGACAAAAAGAAATTTGAAGAAAAAGAAGGAAAAGAAATAAAGAATTAAGACGTTTTTAGAAAAAGATAATTTTATGGGGATAATTTATAAATTTATTGAGGGTGTTTTATAAATATTTACAAATTATACGCATAAAATAAAATAAAATTTAATAAATGCAGAGACAAATGGACCATTTTAATAATTTCAGGAGGGTATTTTATTAATAATTTCAGGAGGGTATTTTATAAATTTATGTATAAGAATAAAAAAAAAATTATAGTGGGGCAGCATAGGCAGCTGCCCCCGGCACATGCTGGCTCCGCCACTGCATAAGATGAACTTATGAGGAGGAAGTGAAGTTGATATCCGTACCAGTTGATTCCAAGGGACTGCTTGAGATGGGTTGTAGAAAGGGGCAATTGAATGCTAACGAGAGTATATACACGGGAGTTGTCTAAGCTATGGTAACAGAATGACCTCTAGAAATGGAATTGAGAAATTCTGATAGTAGAGTCCATTACTAGTGGAAGAATCAATCATGGAGCCGAGCTTTAGTTTAGATTAAATTTTTTTGTTTTGGATTGCCAAGGAGTTGTATTTAAAGAGCGCCCAGGCCTGCTCAGTTATCATGCCAGAAGGAATGCGAGTTTCCATCCCCAACCTTAGCTTGGATAATGAGTCTAGCAAATGGTCTCAGTTGCACTAGTCTCCTATAAGGAGAATGAGCATTTATGAGGTATATCCATGAGTTCCGATAAACAGTTATCATTAATTACCCATGAGTTGCTATTTCCTCCGTCTCATAAAAAGTGTCATGTTTGGAAACCGTGACTCTTATCATGCCAGAAGGAATGCGAGTTTCCATCTCCAACCTTAGCTTGGATAATGAGTTTAGCAAATGGTCTAAGTTGCACTAGTCTCCTCTAAGGAGAATGAGCATTTATGAGGTATATCCATGAGTTCTGATAAGCAGTTATCTTTAATTACCCATGAGTTGTTATTCCCTCCGTCCCATAAAAAGGGTCATGTTTAGAACCATGAGTTGCTATTCCCTCCGTCCCATAAAAAGTGTCATGTTTGGAAACCGTGACTCACAACTCATGGTTCCAAACATGACCCTTTTTATGGGACGGAGAGAGTACTATTTTTCAATCGCAAATAGTATTGTTAAGGCATTCAATATTTGGAATGGCCAAACCTCCTGATTCCTTAGGTGCGCAGATAGAGTGCCATGGAACCTTGGCTTTCTTACTTTGCCGATCACAACACGAAGAAAATATTATACTAGTATAGGTGCATACTCATCAGAACTGACTGGATTAACTGTAATCTTCCTGCATAGGATATGAATTTTGATGTCCAATGAATTTGTAATTTTCTCAATAAGTAAATGACAATCCTAGGCTCTCAATTTTATAGAAATAAAGGGAACCCCTGGATGCATGATTGGAAAAACACCACATTGAACTCCCAGTAAATTAGTAATTGAAGCTGGAGTGGCAGGGTCAACACCACTAAACAAGACATAACTCTTCGATTGGTTAACTTTCAACCCAGTGAGATTAGAGAATGTATCAATACATTTTAGGATAGTCACTAAATTTAAATCAGCATAAAATAGCATCAGTAGCTCATTGGCAAATGCTACATGTGTAATAGTCATTTTCTTGCATCCCCAATGGTACCTAAAGATAGATTAGAAGAGGTGAGTTTGGTGATAATAGAAGAGATGATATCCATTGTAATGACAAAAGGTAAAGGTCAAAAAGGGTCCCACTTTTACTCCTTGAAAAAATCCATGAAATTCTCCATTTACATCAATGGTGAAATAAGGGGATGTGATGCATGATTTTATCTAGCTGATGTGTTTAGGAGGAAAATTGAGCAAGTAAAGTGCCTCAAGAATGAAGTCCCGGCGTACCGAGTCAAATGCCTTCTGTAAATTAATTTTTAGTGCACATTTAGGTTATATATTATCACAAATATTTCTTCCCTGAATGAATGATGTTTGAGACTGACCATTGATGGATGGTAGGACATGTTTTAGCTTGTTGACCAAAAGCTTGGATGGTGTTACAGCAGGAGATGGGTCTGAAATGATTGAGTTAAAGGGTTGGGGGATTTGGGAATAAGTTCAAGGTATGAGCAGTTAATTTTCCATTCTGAAAGAATTCTTTGATTGCCTTGATAACATCTCTTCCTATAATATTCCAGACTCTAGAAAAATAGGACATTATAGCCATTTGGAGAAGCCTTTTCCTTGTTGAGTGATAGAAAGATTGAATTGTTATGTCACTATAAATTCTAGAAGGTCTATCATGGAAGAGTGAAGGGACAAAATGAGAGATAAAGGGTGATCAATGGTCTCTACCTGGAAAAAAGTGAGGATTACCACCTAATAGAGATTTTAAATGGTCTAGAATAACATCCTTGATTGGCATTTCATCCTGAATGAGATTCCCGGGTAAATGAGGGATAGAATTTTATCCCTGTTATTTTTTTGCCCCTTTGTTTTAAAGAAGAATGAGGAGTTGTTATCCCCGAAGTGTAACTAATAAGTCTTGGCTCTTATTTTTACATATGTTAGTAGGGGTGGAGTCAGGATTTAATTTCAGGGTGGCGTAATATACTTGACTAGAAAAAAAAAAAAAAAATTTAAATGACATAATTAATTTAGTTTTATTTTGAAATTATTGAGTTCATAAAATTATAACAATGAATGCAAATAAAAAGAGGAAAAAAAAAAAAGTGCTTGGATGTGCATCTTTCGATTGAGAACTTAGCTTGATCAATCGAGTACGGGTGCGAGACCTTTCAACTTCAGATTTTGATTCCTCTTGTGGCCAATTCGAGGTGCACTCAAGCAAGGAGCCATATGTACAGGGTTTGTCCATTTCCTAGCCATAAGGTAAGGTATAAATAAAAGCTGGAGCCATTTGAAAAAAAGATTTGCTTTTGGGCAAGGATTGAAAGACTCTCTCTCTCTCTTTAGGATTTCTCTCTCAAGGAAGATTGGAGAAGAAGATCTTTGGCTATGCTTGGAGATGGAGATTCAACCTCCAATAAAGATCCACACCACCTCCATGGCTAGCTAGACTCCATCTTAGGGCTTGGATGAAGCCCTAAGCCAAGTAATTTGTATATTGTTTCAATTTTTGGGGATTTCATTCATTTGTGCATTGATTGTATGAGTTTGGGTTTTAACTTGGTTGTACCAAGCTTAATTGTGCTAAATTCTGTAATTAATGTTCTCTTAATCCTTGTCTTGCATTTGATATTGATTAATGTGGATTGATCTCAGCATTATCACATTTTGTAATTATGATGATGGTGGTTATACAATGGTGCTTATTTGGATATGATTGTGATTAACGTGACATTTCATGCCTAATGAATATGAATTGTGTTACAAATCTAGGTTAGAAGTAGGTAGGTGGACAATACATGCTTAGCTAAGATGAATTATACTTGTCAATGTCAATTGTAATTACTACTTGAACTCAATTGTGTGCTTGTAGCCATAATTCATTTTTAAACATTTGATTTCCACAAAATTGTTGGCAATTCTGCAATTATAAGGCTAAAGGTGGATTCCATGTCCTAAGCCTCTCCCCATTATCTTCTTTTGCTCATTACTTACTCAATTTACTTGCATTATTACTTAGCATTTGTGTAATAGTTAATTAGGAACAAATCAACCCATCCTTTCATCAATTGTTCATTAAGATTGAATTCAAATCAAGTCGTCGTCCTTGTGTTCGATTTGAGTCTCCCAAAGCAAAATAAATTAATTCTTTCTATTTCTCATTAAGTTGGTCAATATACAAGGATCGATCTTTGTATTACACTATCACATAGCTCAAACCTCTTAGCTATACAAAAATGCTAAGTAACATTGAAATCTTGATTAACATCGGAAAACATACTGGTATTTATTACATATGTTGATTTGGAAATTTAAATTCCTCTTCTTCAAAATGATTGCTCATGATCTTGGAGATAGTTTGAACAAATCCACAAAGCAATTAAGTTATGCGTTACAATTAAATTATCTGGTTTTCAATTTTCTGAATGGCAGCCTTTAGCTCTAGTTGACGACTTCCCCTTGTAGGCATCAAAACTATGTCGTTCCAAACTGAACCGGCCTCGTATATTTGGCCTGCAGGTTGTGGGTAAAGGTCATATATGCCCTCTGCATCATGGTTCAAACTGCTTGCTATGCTCAAACATTTGATTTCATCTGGATCAATCAGCAGCTTGTTATCACCATCTTTCCATCCTATTAGCTGCGATTACACAAATGAATAATATAAATCACATATTTGAATATCATGTTCAAAGCTAGCTTACATATATTATCAATCCTAAAGATACAAATTAAACTTAGGCTTTTGATTATTGGCTTTTAAGTACCAAAAATTTTCCCGTGACTTTTTTTCTATAAAGTTTGTTCTCTCCCTAATTTCATATGATCCTGTCTAAATCTATATATATATATATATATATGCACCCAAACATCAAAGTCTTATTTATATAGAAAATGATAAAAATTTCACACTTAAAAATAAAAAAAATAAAAAACCGATGCTTTCCACTAAGCTAAATGGTCTTTTATATAAACCATATAAACAGACAACCCCCCACTAATCACGGGAAAAAAGTAGATAATAGATAAGAACGAATCTGCTTTACAAGTAAGAGAATTTCTCTCTAGCAGAAACGACGAAAGGGGCTTTATTAAAGCTATAGTAATGGGCTATTAGCCTCATGGATCGTCATCATGAGCCAACATGTCCTAGATAGAATTTGGAGTCGGTTGGGGCCCAATCACTATTCATCGTCTTTAGTCAAGTAATTTTGATGCCATAACAATCATCTCCATTGGGAGGTGGGAAAGCTGGAGGTTCATCAGACATGGACCTTATTGAACCAGATTCTTCATTTTCTTCTTAATCAGAGTCTGAAAGAACATTTGTAAGTTCCATGGCAATTTGTTTCTTAAGGTCTTTACGTAAGATATTGCCATGGAACTTACAAATGTTCTTTCAGACTCTGATTCAGAAGAAAATGAAGAATTTGGTTCAATAAGGTCTATATTTTGATGAACCTCCAGTTTTCCCACCTCCCAATGGAGATATTTGTTGCATCAAAATTACTCGACTAAAGACGATGAATAGTGAAAAAAGTCAAATTTACTATTCATAAATAGTGATCGGGCCCTAACCGACTCCAAATTCTATCCAACACACGATGGCTCATGATGATGATCTATAAGGCTAATAGCTCATTATTAGAGCTTTAATAAAGCCCTTTTTGTCGTTTCTGCTAAAGAGAAATTCACTTACCTGTAAAGCAGATTCGTTCTTATCTATTATCTACTTTTTCCCGTGATTAGTGGTGGCTTGTCTGTTTGTTTGGTCTATATAAGAGACCATTTAGCTTAGTGGAAGGCATCGTTTTTGTTTTTTCAGAGTGAATCTTTTCTGTAATATTGTCAGTTGTGAGTGTACTCTCTAGGTGTGGATTTCTGAAAGCTTTCTGTTCAAGCTTTCTTTTGTAAGTTGTGTCTTTTAAGTTTCATGTTTAAAGTTATGCAATTTTGTTCAATGTTTGTAATTCTGTTTATATAATGAAGCTGTTTAATGTAATTCTGTTTATATAGTGAAGCTGTTTAATGTAATTCTGTTTATATAATGAAGCTGTTTAATCTCCTGGTTTGAATAATAAATCACATATTTGAATATCATGTTCAAAGCTAGCTTACATATATTATCAAGCCTAAAGATACGAATTAAACTTAGGCTTTTGATTATTGGCTTTTAAGTAACAAAAATTTTCCAGTGACCTTTTTTTCTATAAAGTTTGTTCTCTCCCTAATTTCATATGATCCTGTCTAAATCTATATATATGCACCCAAACATAAAAGTCTTATTTATATAGAAAATGATAAAAATAATTCAGTCTTACTCTATAGAAGGCTTTTAGGACTTTAGTGTATATTTGTATTTTCAAGCATAAGCTCAGGCTTATTATAGAGTCACACACACACACACACACACATATATACACACATGAAAATGATCTCTTGCTCGCCGGTGAGCAAGAAATTAATCCGCACTATGCATAGTGACCATTGAATATGATTGCTATGTTTTTATGGTAACTTCTTTTTTTATATTTAACGATCACTCTACAGGGTGCGAATGAATTTCTTGCTCACCGGTGAGCAAGAAATTCATCCGCACCACGCATGTATAAGTCGTTAGATGATACTTAAGTCGATGCATTTGACATAAAACTCTAGCCGAGGTTTTATCTACTCTTAGATATATTTCAAATGGACTCTATATTTATCACTTAAAACTCAATCGTAGAGATGTTGGCCTAAGTATCATTATTCTATAAATATAGATTTTACCTTTGGTGGGCCACCCAATGCATTGGTGCTATATAGCCTAGCATTATCAACAAGTTGGCAGTATCCTGGAAATGCACTTGCAAATTGCTTGTGAGATTTCAACTGTGACTTCACCCTCACTGCCCTTCCCATAATTACAGCTCTCCTGAATTAATTGGAAAAAAAACACCTTAATAACTCACCAGAGAGAATTAAGAGTGAATGAAATGTGTACAAACATATAATCAGTCATTTTGATAAGCATTTTAATAGTAGTTAGGAGAGGCCTAGAAATGGAAAGTGGGAAAATAATAATAATAAAAAGACTATAATCAAGGTACTTTGAAGTCAAGAGAGTGTTTTAATGTATGAAGTTAGAAATTTTGAATGAAAATGTGAGTTTTGAGTTAAAAATGACCTTATTCAAGGTACCTTTAGAGTCGCAAGAGTGTTTTAATGTATGAAGTTAGAAACTTTGAATCAAAATTGTGAGTTTTGAGTTAAAAATGACCTTATTCAAGGTACTTTTAAAGTCGCGAGTGTTTTTTTTTTTTTTTTCTTGGGTATCGCGAGATTGTTTCAATGTATAACATTTAAAAGTTTGAAAGAAAATGAGAGTTTTGATTTAAAAATAACCTTATTCAAGGTACATTTGAAGTCATGAGAGTGTTTAATGTACAAAGTTAGAAACTTTGATTGAAAACGTGAGTTTTAAGTAAAAAATGACCTTATTCCAATATACGAGGGTGTTTTAATGTATAAAATTAGAAACTTTGAAAGAAAACACACACACACACACATATATATACATATTAATTTATATACTTATTATATGAATCATTACCTGATGCCTCTAACAACAGCAAGATAAGCATCACAAACAACTCCAACCAACTCTATTCTATATGGTTTCCTCATCTTAGCTTGTTGCCCTTGTTCCTTTTCTTGAGTTACATCTTCTTTTTCCCAATAGTTTTCAGTAATGGTACCATCACTCGACACCTTGTAGCCAACACCCATGCTGTAACGATATTTATGAACGTTTCGTGCCATGGCGATTGTCTGCTCGACGTATGGCACCCATGACAGGGTACCATCCATGATCACGTCGCGTCCTTCGTTAAGTGCTGTTACCAGGAGAGAAGATGCTGCATCAGTGGATGACTGGTGCACCTGTTCTCAAAAAATGTATAAGTTAACATCAGCAGTTTTCCCCCCTAAATGACATTGTAATAATGAGAGAAAAACAATATAGTACAAGCAGTGACGAACCTAGAAGATTGTGTGAGGGTAAATTTATATAGTGGGGCTTTTTTGTAATTTCAGCTGGGGCAATGTTAAAATTTTGTAGGTATATAATATAAAAACAAAAAATTTCAGTGGGAGCGGATGTCCCACTAAGTCCACTGTAAATCTGTCCCTGAGTACAACACATACCTCCTTAACAGTACAAATAGAAGAAAAAGGTTAATGTTGCAGCTAATGCAAACCTAGGTAGCACTATTTACATACAATGAACAGAAAATAACTCATATTAAGATCTACAAAGTATGGTTTTTTGTTTTTTTGGGTGATAAGGACAAAGTTCAAACCAAGGACATCCAAGATCTCCCAAAAAAAAAAGGCCATTTCAAGATGAGGAACATCTCTATACACAACCTCATGAACTTTATGATTCCTCAGTCCATATATGTGAAATAGTGGCAATGGGGCATACCTTTGACAGCTTTGTCTGAGAACCTTTCCCTATGAAGAATGAAGAAACTAGTCAGACAGCTACATATATAAGAGTGTCACCTATAGGTAGGGCGCGCACTATTTCAAAACACCCATTTAATTACTCTAAAAACTTAAGTTGTTCGAGAGGGTGTAACTTTAATATTTAAATCCTTCAACACCATCTAACACATGTTAAGTCATTGAACTTGATGCTTCGCTAACCTATAGGAGTTCCACACATTTTTTAAGGGAATGCAGCTTCCTTCCACACCATCTGCTCAGCCCCTGATGCATCTCAAAGTTCTAAGTTAAATCAAAACCGCAACATTTTATGCACTGAAACAACCTGAGAACCAAGCGCATGCATGATCTAAACTCGCCGGTTGGAAGAATTGGAAAAGTCCAAATTACTCAAAATTATAGGACTCAATATCTCTGTTAAGAACTTACCTTCCAAATGGTTGAAGCAAGTTACATTACCACACAACTCAAAAATGTTGAATCCCTCGCATACTTTCCTCTTGTACCAAACTACGTACCTACAGTCTATCCTTGCTTTGAATGAAATTCCGAGCATGGGATACACTTTGAAGCGTAATGAATGTCTTTAATTATTCTAATACCGAATCCTCCCTCCCTTTTAGGACAAATTATCGGTTTCCAACTGAGAGAGTGTAGTTTCCTCTCATTTTAAGCTCAATAGCATTAGAAATTAGTAGTTAGCATAGAAAAAATAGCACACCAGTAATATACATAAAGAAACCAAAGTAGTCATCTCTAACTCCACTCTATAAGCTAAACTCAAATTTAAACCATTCCAGACGGTAAATTTGGCATACTCTTTATCCACCAGATGAGCAGAGACAATCAATCTTTCTCAGTCTCTCTCAGATAAGGGGTGTTCAAATACTTCATACGCAAATACCCCAATTTACAACAAAGCATCCTCATAACAACATATTCCCTTTTCATATATAGACCTGGACAAGAAAAGCACAGACTTCTTTAGCATCAAGGTAAAGAAACCACATTTTGTCCGGCGGCCTAATTAACTAGACTATTATGTCATCCAGCCATTTATAAACTCCAAAAATAGGTACAATGAATGAGTTCTAAAGAATTCAGTTCTTCTCCAAAGGTGGAATTTTATCGTTACAAGTCATTCCAAGTTCGTTCCACTAATTGATCGATTGTGGAATCACCCCTATATAGGCCTCTATTAGGGTTTTTTTAGTACCCTAATTCTAATTTCGTTCGAAATCTACCCAAATATAGATTTGAATCATTTCCTAACATTTCACATCATTTTAACCATTATTGAAATTGATTCCCAATGGAACCTAAACAAGGGTTTCTGGTGCCCTAGTTTTGACTCTGGCCAAAATTAGAGGGTCATAATTCCTCACCAAAATCAATCAAATGGGGTCAAAACATCAATATGTATCCTAAATCCAATTTCACCATTTGATTTCAAATCCGCCCAACCAATTTAGCCAATTTTGAGAAATTGCAAATTTAGGGTTTGTGGGCCACATTGCCTATTCTCAAATCCCTAACTTTCCATTTTATCAAACAATCAAATTGATACTTTTCATGGTGAAATCACTTAAATGTGAGGTACATTATGAAAATGCCTGTTAGTGTACTCAGTGGCGCATTCATGAGGCCTAGTGTGTTGGTATAAGGTAACAAAAAATTAGGACACATCTCAAATGCGTGGAAACCTAACATCTATGTTAAAGTGGTAATAAATTTGATGCCAAGGCCTCGTGGCCTAATAGCATCTCTTTAATCTGTTAAAGTGAATAATGAGGGTCTAATAGTATCTCTTTAATCTATTAAAGTGCGTAGCGAGGGTTTAAGTTTTTAAGAGGATAAAGAGTATGTGAGTGACTATGAAGCTGGGACACGGGACAGTACAACACGACATGGAACACGAGACACGGGTAAAGACACCGCAATAAGATAAATTTAAGAAAAATAAAACACAGGCACATAAAGGATAAAACAATAAAATATATACTTTTACTATATATAAATCCTTACTACTCTTGAAAAACATAAAAACTATAAGTCCAAATTCTATTAAAATATATCCTTATATCCAGCAATTGAATAGCTATATCTGTAACCATCCTTTTTATAAGATGATAAGACTACAATCTCCTCTTATCCCATTTCTCTACCACACACGTGGTTCTCTCCTCCTCATCTTCTTTACTCTGTCTTTCAGTGGAGCCCAGGCAATTACTCCACAAAGAAGCCTGATGAGGTTTCAAAGTCCAACAAAGAGGAAAATAAGAGGTTGTAGCATGTTTTGGAGAAAAACTTGCATTTGGACCGTTCTGTAATACACATGTCCACGTGTGAATTATACATTTCGTGTATGAATGATTAGATATAACAGGCTCAATAAAAATTTTCTTCATGCCTTGTCTTCCTCCTCTTATTTTTCAAAAAAGAAAAAAGAAAAAATTGAATTGGCACGTCCCTGGCCAGGTCAGGGTATCTTGACACATGACATGTGTTAGATACGTGTCCGAGATCACACCCCTTTTATTCTCTCAAGTGTAAATTGACGCGTCTACATGTCTGGGGTATCTTGACACATGACACTTATTCCACGTGTCCAACATCATAGGTGAGTGGTGTATTTTTAAAATAATAATAATAATAATAATTTCGAGGTATATAAAAAGAACCTAATTTCAAGGGGGGAGAGAGAGAGAGAGAGTACCAGTTCAGAAGTTTGTAGCATGTCTTGGCTGTGACCCCTAGAGTTAAGGGCTTTGTAAATTACGTCTGTCTCCTTGAAAGCATCTGCCTCTACCACAACCGCATCTGCCGCAGCCGAGCCTGACCAAAATGATCTGCCAGTATTTGTCCATCCAACTTTAATAAAAAGAGGGTATTTTGTAATATTTATATTGAAAAAAATTAATCAAAATAGACTTTTACCGACATTATGGGCAATTTGCATACATTTTTCAAATATTGTGACGCTATAATGTTTGAGACGATTTTTTATAACGAGGTTTCTAATTTCTAAAATAATTGAGATGAAGATAAAGATGACGATGAGTTATTACTGTTTGAGAGCGTCTTTTAAGACCGTGCTTTTGCCGGCTCCCATTCCACCGCCCATAAGGAGGAGCACCGGACTCCTCTCATTGTGGTCCACCGGCGTCATCACCGCTGTACATTCTGATTCATCCTTCGGTTTGGCGTACCCGATTGCTTTCATTTCTTCCACCAATGTAGTAAACATCCTAGTCACCTTCAGGTCCTTGGTCACCTTCTCAAATCTTCTTTTCCTACCAATCCAATTCAAAATAAATAAATAAATCATCTTGTCACATATGATTATGATATGTAATGCTCTGTTAAAGATATTTTGCAATCGGTCCCACAATTCAATATTAATATATTGCTATGACCGCTAGAGACAAAGTGTCAACGTTTATCATGCTTTTTTAATATTTTGGATAGGTGGACATTTTGCCCAAAAAAGAAGAGGATAAGGTTACATTTAATTAAGGTCGCTTTCAAAATTTCAATAATTAGATGTACAGACAAATCTGACCATATTGACAGGCTTAATGACGATTTTAGATACCCCGACACGTCATGTATCAAGATACCCCGACAAATAAAATTTCACTTGTATTATTTTTGTCTTTTTATTTTAAAACAAATAAAAATTAAAGTAAATAACACTCACCTTTTCTCAAATTTGAATAAATTATACATGTATAGAACATTTGACATTTATTATTCTATGCTCCTCTATGGTTTAGTATATGTATTCCACGACTCCCTACCGTCAATGAACCGTTAGATCCATTAAATAAATTTTATATAATGTTTGAAATACCCTTATGGTGGGTGAAAAGACTTTACTAGCCTTACAGATTTATATAAAGTTACAAAACACCATATATTTAGACTAATTGACCTTGAGGTGCTTGATGCTAAAAGACAATGACTAAAGGTTTTGCCTGTTCGGGCCACCACTGCTTACCGCCACCACCACCTTCTCCCACTTCTAACTCCTTATTTTTTCCTCCTCACTATCGACAATGACGAAACATAATGCAGAAAGTGGGAGGAGAGCGGAGGTGAAGAATTTGGCTATATCGTGGGGATAAATAGAGTACTTTTATATGACATGATATTTTTATTAAAATGTTATTAATAATATAGGGGTATAAATGGCATTTTGTCATATAACTTAACATCTGTTAGCTCACTAACAGTCATGAGGGAGGTATGTGTAGTAAATGCCACACATTCTATTTGGGTGTAACTTGTCTGAATTTTAGGAGAAGTCAATACAATTTATCTAAAAGCTAAGGAGTCCCATCTAAAATTGGTCCTTACCTTTTTTTTTTTTGTTTGTTTTTTTGGCTCACAAATGGGCTTGTTGGGGACGACTTCTTTTATCTTTCCAAAAAAAGAAAGAAGAAAAAACAAAAGAAAAGAATAAAAGGAGAGAAAAAGAAGAACTATTCCTATCCACTCGTTTCTCGGGGTACGGAGTCAGATGGAGTTTTGGCGCGAGAATTTTATTTTTTACAGGCTGTTTGATAAAAAGTAGATTGGAAACAAATGATAATAATAAAAAGTAGCTGAGAACATTTTTATCTGCATAGAGTACATAAAAGAGTCAGTGGCAATAGTTAAACATACTGTGTAAACTGTAATAAAAAGTACTCTGAGAACATTATATATCATCGTTTATTGTGCATGTGGTGTGTGGGGTCATATATATAAAATAGATGGAATCATTACACTTACTTTTTTTTTTTTTTTTGGATGAACTAAATAACACTAACATTTTTTTTAAATTTCAAAAATAACATTAAAACTTTTTCAGAGAAGGGAGTTCGGTGATAAAAGTAGATGAAAATTTCTTATTATTTAGGGTTAGTTTGGAAACGGCAGGAAAGAAAAAAAAAAGGTGACGAAGGGTAATTAAAAAATTGTGTTTGATATAAATAGTTGAAAGAAAATGGATGATTTTGGAAGGATAATACAAGGCATAAATAGTAACTTTCTTATCTTCCAAAAATAAGAAAAAAAGGAAAGAAAGAGAAGAAGAGGCTTGATGTATTATTTCTGATGTCAAATTTACCCTTACACAAAATCAAGATTACACTTGATTTTAGTTTGCAAAACAAGAATTACAGACCTTGATTAGTTGATTTAGAAAAAAAAAAATTAAAACAAAACCCATACATACAAGTTAGAAGTTGGAGAGAGAGAGGGGGGCAGGCTTGAGAGTTGAGAGACATCGGCTTAAGCTTGCGAACTGCGAACCCAAACTGGAACAGCAGGCGATGAAAACTGAAAGATATGTGTTTTGATTTTTTGAACAATCTGAAATGATATGCCAATATGGGTTTTGATATAGGTAATATATATGTTTTGAACTTTTGATTCTTTCAGACAGATAGATTAACTGAAATATAAATATATTTGGCATCAGACATAATACATCAAGCCTTTTCTTCTCTTTCCTTCCATTTCCTCCCATTTTTGAGAAGATAAGAAAGTTACTATTCAAGCCTTATGATATTTTTCCAATACCATCTCTTTCATTTCCTTTTCTTCCACTATTTATGCCAAACACAATTTTTTAATCACCCTCCATCATCTTTCATTTTCTTTCCTCCCTTTTCCATTGCACCAGACTTACCCTTAGGGTATGCTGGTACAATGGAAAAGAAAAGATAACTTAGTTAGGAGGAAAAATAAAAGAAAAGAAAGGAAAAATTAATGTTAGTTACTTGTTGTATTTGGTTAATTAATAAAAGAAAAGAAAAGAAATAATAGTAAAGAAAAAGAAATTAATGTAATAAATTTATAATTATACCTTTTTTCATAGAATTTTTCTCTTATATGTATAAGAGTAAATTTGATATTAATAAAATTTCATTAAAAATATTAGTGCTTTACTTTCCTTCCAAACGCCTCCATCAATTCCCTTTCCTTTTCATCCAACATTCTTTGCCAAACGCCACTTTTTACTTTCTTCCATTTCCTATCTTTTCTTTTCCCCCATTTCCATTATACCAAACTGAGCCATAGGCAATTCAGAGAGGAGATGAGTGTGTATACGTGAATGTTTGTGTGTGTGTGTATATATATATAAAAGACCATTGCACTTAACTCTTTATACTATCATTTTTGTTCCGCCTATGTTTCTAAATTCTGTTTTTTTTATACATAACCTCCCTTGATCTATTTTTTAAAAGAAAATTTTCCACTTTAGCCCTTGCCGTCATCTGTCCATGAATATGAAGGTGGTGAAATGACTTTAGTGTTCATTTTTATGAGAAATATATTATTTAGGAAAAAAAAAATGAAGTTAGGCAATAAAGTTATTTTATCTCTTTATTCAACCAACAGATGATGACGAGGGAGTAAGTTGAATTATTTTTTATAGTGTAGTGACCTCCTCTCCTCATGGAAGTTATGTGACACAAAATTATAGTACAAGGGGTTAAGTTAGACTAAGCATTATATTATATATATAGATATATATTTATTATAAAACAAGGAGAAGGTATATGAAAAATAATGGACACCTTGTAGCCTGCATCACGATGTCTATGAACCTTTTCTTCTCATAATCAACCCTCAAAACCTGCAATTAGTTCAACCCAAGAAAGTAGACAATTAAATTAATAAATAAATTATTAACAAATTAATATAATTAATTAGTTGGGATTAAATTCAAAGTGTGTGTGTGTATATATATATATATATACCTGGGTGATCATACTAGAAGCTTTGCTCCAACTAAATGCAAAATAACTGAGAATACAGGTTTCGAATTCCTCCACCAACTTGACATACAGTGACTCAGCATTTTTCTCCTTAGCAAAATACTCATACATTTTTTCTTCGCAGTCTTTGGTTTTCCTCAAATATTCATTAGCTAACTTGCATAATTGGGGACACTCACTTGCATCTTTAAACCCTATTTGCCTAACTGCACAAAGTATATATATATAACAAATAATTAAATATTTTATAAAACAAAATTAAGATTTTGAGAATATTATTTATTTATATATATATATATATATATATACTGACCAACATAATGAGAAAAAGCTTCATGTTTTCCTCCATGAGAGGATCCTGTGCTCTCAAAACGCGGGATAATATAGTTTTCTTTCGAGAATTTAGACTTTTTCCGGTAAAAATGAATAGCAGCGCCGGCGGAGATGAATCCGATTGAGGTTGCAGCAAGGATGTGTGCAAGAATGTTAACTTTGCCATATCCATCTGATTAAACATAAATTAAGAGTTTAATTAGAGACCTTTCTCAGATGATCAGAGAGAGAGAGAGAGGAGGAGGAGAGAGAGAGTTTGTTACCTTTCTGCATGATGTTGTTTTATCCAAAGAAGAGTTGGGAAGGAAGGTTGAAGCTGCAAAATATATTTGATTGAGCTTAGATGAGACTTTCTCTAAGCCAGTTGAACAAGAAAAAAAATGAATTATGGAGTAATTTGTAGGACACCTTGTTAATTTTTACAACCTGGTTTCATGAGAGTGGGACCCACATCTTAGTAAGAATATCATTTTAAATTGCACTCACATTCATTATGTTTGGATTGAAGACAGGTAGTTGAACTACGCATTTTTTGGATGATCATACTTTCAAATTTAATAAATTGAATAAAGGCACTTCAAATTAAGTTAAAATAAAAATATTTTATGAATTAAGATAAGATAAAATAAATTTTTTTTTTTTTTACTTATGAATTAACTTATTTAAATTATTAATTAAAATCTTTAATTACAAAGGTGACACTGTAGAGTACTTTAGAGGGCCATACCTGATTGACTTATATGTGCATGGTGTTTGTGGCAATGATCTGAAGTATCGGTATCATTTGTCCAGTCAGGTATCTTTCATGGTTAGCCTTTGTTAAAAGCATATTATTCTTGGAATGTGAGAGCTGGCCGGCCCTCTTGATGCGACTAAGGTGCGATCCACTAGCTGTCATGGTTATTCTTGGAATACTGAAATCATTTCCCTTTAATTGTGTGTATTAAATTGTGTTTTTTCAAATAAAATAACTCATTTTTATCACTGAAAATAATTATGTCGTCAGCAAAAGGGAACACAAACCATGTATATATTTTAAGTTGTAGGCTATTCTGATTTTGTCGCTCGGAAATGAAAAAGTTAATTTTGTCCATTAAAATACTTTAAAAATGTTAAAATAATAAATTCATAATTTAAATAAATCAATTCATAATTAATAGGATAATAATATACTTTTATCTTGATTTGGAGTGTCATTATTTAATTTATCAAACTTGTAAAATGTTATTGTCCAAAAAAATAACTAAGTTATAAATATATGTTTTTAAAGTGTCCCACAATTAAATAGTGAAACTTATTCTAAAGCCACGAGAGAAGTGTGAACAATTTTTTTTTTTTTTTTTGGATAGTGGACAATTTGAATAGTGATGTTAATATAGTGTCAAAACCATGTGGGGGGTTATATCCCGCCATTAAAGTTTGTATTGAAAAGTGGCTAAGAAAAGACTTTGATTACCTTCCCGACTTTGATGATTGGACTTCTTACATTTATAATGTTTTGTGTTTGTTAAGTTATGTTTAATTTAAAATTGGGTAAATTACGCTACCGCATCTATGATTTGTTATAATTATAAGAATTTTTTATGTGATTTAGGAATTTATTCGGACCTATCCTAAAAATGAAACTATTAGACCTCCTTTCTGTTACGTCACCGCGAGTCAAGGACGAATTTTGCTCATGTCATGCATACTTAATAAATTAAAATTTTCGTATTATCTTCACGCGCCTTACACGTTTTTTTATCCTTTTGCTCGTGCTGACAGTTTTTTCACTGATGGCAAACCATATGGTTTATAGATACGTATAAGTACACTAATTTTAGGGGTGACAAAATTTGACACGATTTGCCAGCACGACTCAAACACGACACGAGTTAAACGGATTTAGGTTGACCTTAAACAAATTCGGGTTGTAAACGAGTCGACACGATTAACCCGTTTACTTAATCGTGTCGTATTTGGGTTGAGGGGTTTAACATGTGTAATTTGTTTATACCCGTTTAACTATACGTGTCATAAACAAATTTCTATTTAAGTTTCAAAATAATTATCTAAATTTGTATCTTATAATTTATTCTTTTGTAGATTAGAAATTATTTAATAATTTGGTTGGATTGAAACTTAAATTTTTCTAGTATTAATGTTTGATCGAGTATTATTAATAATTTAAATAATAAAATATTTGATTATATTAAACAGGCCATTAAACGGGTTACACATGTAACCCGTTTAATAAACATGTTATACGTGTAACTCGTTTAATAAAAAAGTCGGGTTAGTGTTCAGGATTTCTGACACAATTATTAAACGGATGGTATTCGAGTTGAGCTGTTTATTAGAATATTTTCAAATCGACACGACACGATTACGACCCGCGAACACGTGTTAGACCTACCTTTGTAATTGCCATTGCCGCCGCCTCATCCTTCACCGCCCAGTTAAGCACCATCACCGGCGGTAGCGTCAAACTTCCCATCGGCAGATGCGAATTCTATGACAGAGCAAAAGTACTTCGGTGGTTATGAGTTAAAGATCGAACCGACGAGTTGTACTTGTCGACAGCCATGATTGCCATAGACAGCAGGTAAAGCCACTCTCATATCTGAATTAGGAGTCTACCAATTTGAACTCAAATTCGTAAAATTATAGTTATGAGATCTCCTCTTCAATAATTAATACTATTAAACTGATCACGCACGCACACATCACCTATTTTTTTTTTTTTTTTTTTTTAATTAATACTATTAAACTGATCAAATTTGTAACTTTTATACATATTAAATTTTTTTTTTTTTTTTTTATTTTGTTATCTAAATAATAATCTTAAAGAACTCTCAAATTAAAATCATTTCATTTAAATTTCTTAAAAAATAAAGCATGTTTAGATCAAGTTTTTTTTTATAAAAGAAAGCAATTTATTGAATTTTGTAAACAATTGTTCTCAATTTTGTCACTTGATCTCTCTAGAAACCCCATTTATTGAATCTTTCACGTAGCCACTTACTCTTTTGTCTGTTTACTCTTTGTTATAGTGATTCATTGAGAGAGGAAAGAAAATGTTGGTTACTGTGGGAAATTGGTAGTCCATGTCTTCAATTACCAAAGGGGGCACAGGTTTAATACACACACAATTTTAATTATTAGACAAAACATGACTTATAACCCCGTGATGTTGTTTTATCCAAAGAAGAGTTAGGAAGGAAGGTTGCGGCTGCAAAATATATTTGATTGAGCTCATAGGAGACTTTCTCAAACCAGTTGAAGAAGACAAAAATGATTATGGACTGATTTATAGGACACCTGCTTGTTAATTGCTTTTCCCAATTTAAATGGAATCCTTGCATAAGATTATTTATTAATTATGTCAGTCACATGATTTAGACATATAATATATTTTATTAATTAGTGATTAAATAAATAGATATTAAATTAATATTTTATTATTTGATTAACTTATAAATTATTTTTTTGGTAATTAATTATTGAGGAAGTGTTTTCTTATTTATTCCTTATTTTGATGAAAAGTAAAATTAAGGTTATTAAAAGGAAAAATAGTCATCTCGATGCCTTTATAAAAATGCATATTTCCATCAATTATGTATACTAATGAAACAACACATATAATGTTTATGTGTGCAAAAGGTTAAGAGAGAGAAATCGATTTCCACACTTTAACAACACTTTATTCGTTCTGCAGAAAAAATCTATGATGTTTAGCGAGATTTGCAATTACAAATCGAAATATTTATATTTAACTATTTGTTTATGCATTATAGACATGTGAAAATAATGAAGTTCTAAGATTTTGGGATTCATTTTTATTTGTAATTAATGCTTAATATGAATAACTATAATTTACATGTGGTATCAGAGCATGATTTAGAAACTCATGATTTTCCTTTAAAGTTGCATAAATAAAAATAAAATAAAATGATTATATAATATATTCTTTTAGAATTGACATATATATATATATATATATATATATATATATATATATATAATGTATGTTTTGATTGGTGTGATTTTGATCAGTTTGGTCATTTATTTGGTTTACACACCTCAATTTCTGAACATGATTGTATTGCTTGAAAGTTAATTACTGAAACATGAAATGTACATGTATAATAAAACAACCTTGTGTTTCCCTTTCGAGATGTATGACAAGTAGAAGAAGATCAACTCTGACTACAAAAGGTTAAGCTACAGATCAGTCATCTTCAACAGTAGCCACCTGAATCCACTTCCACAGCCTCCACCAACGGCACTGAGCAGAATAATTGGGCGGGACCAGGTTTGATTTCAAATTCAAATTTGAATATTACAAACAATGCTTTACTTACATCACCAAGGCAGCCATCAGACTCACCACAGGCTTTGGTCCAAACTAACACTACCAAAAATGGCAAAAACATTGACTCTTTTCCACAACCTACCATAAAAAGCCAACACTCCCCAACCACTGCATTATATGCAATTCCAGACTCTACCAAACTTAAACTTGGGAACACAACCTCTAACCCATTACCTCCACAACCAACTACAAAAGGGACAAAAACATGGACCGATGTAGTAAAGCAAAACACCAACGAAATGGTCCTCAAATTTTTTAATCCATCCAAAGACTCACCATCCATCATTGACCCTCCTCAAGAAATTGCTGATGAAGGTATGGAATTTTAGAGCTTACTGCACTTAGTTGGGAAATCCTTTTAAAAGAGACTCCCCTTTAAGGTGGTTCAAGCTGCTGCAGCAGAACTCTGGACATCCTATGGCCTTACTCACACAATTTTGGGGGAGAATAACATTTTCCTCTTCAGATTCAGTTCCTCATTTCAAGCACATAAAGTTTTTTCCCTTGGTCCATGGTCCATAGCTGGACACCCCTTCTTCCTGATGAGGTGGACCAACCAAAATCAATCACAACCATCAAGCATTGACTGCATCCCCACCTGTATCAAATTCTTCAACATCCCACTTAAATTTTGGACAGCAAATGGTCTCAGTTACATTGCAAGTTCAGTGGGAGAACCTCTACACGCTGATCAAGCAATCGAGGACAGAACCAAGCTCAAATTTGCAAGACTTTGTGTAAACATAGACCTCAACAAGTCTCTGCGCAATGAAGTCCAGCTAAAAATGGATGGCAACTTAGTTGATATAGGATGGAATACTAGTGGATCCCAAAATTCTACAGCAAGTGCCATCAGCTCACCCACACTGTCAATAGTTGCCCTCTAAACATTATATAACCACTACCTCAACAGGATGACAAACCAACTTCACATTAAACAAGCCCTCCAATAGTTGATCATAGTCCGACAATACAACCAACAACTGAATGGGTGACCATCAGGAAAAAAAAGAAGAACAAACCACCAGTTAACATTACCCAAACACTCAAGCAACCATCCTCTACCTCTACACCACACCACAACAACACTAACCATTTCCATCCCCTAGCATGTCCACAGCTCCACACACCAAACTCCCAGCCTACATCCTGCACCCCCTCATCACCAAAACACATTACAATTGACAAGCCTATTATGAGCAACCATCCAAACTCCCCACCACGCACACCACCATACTCCCCCCTATGCAGCAAAAAAATTAATTTTTCCCAAAATAATACTCTATCCAACCCAAACACTCCTACAACTGTACCATCATCCATGCCAGAGAAACACTGCCACCCCCTTTCAGCTCCACCACAGTGCTCACCTGTTACATACCCACAATATAACAAACATGGCAAGGAACCAAAACACAAGTCTCTAGTCCCCATACCAAACCATGAAGATGAGTCTACCTCAATAGCTACCACATCTGTAAAACAGATCCAAAGACCAAACAAAATTACATTCACTGCATAATCCTCATTCTCTAAGCCAGGAAGCATTTAACAAACAGCCTCACAAGGTATCACCTCAACAAGAACTCTAAAGAAGGCTGCAAGAAGAAAGACATACTACACTGATATGGTGTCTAACAGACACCTTGAAGGTTCTTTTACCCTCTTTTTAAATGATTACACTCCTAACATGGAACATTAGGGGGTTAAACCAACCCCCTGTGATACCCCTCGATTCTAGAGCCACAGGTGATCAATTACGAGCACAGACCCGAGGGATATCAGACAATTAATATGTAAACAAGCAAGAATAAAACTATATTAAGAATAAGATAATAATGTACTGAAAGAAAACTAAAATGAAAATCCTTGAACCTTAAATAATAAATTAATATAATTTAAATCCGTACAACTCGGGAATCCACCTAGTGGACCCCCAATTCCAAAACTTTAAATAAATTTACAGAATTAAAATCCAAAACCAAAATAGAAATAAAATCCTATATAACCGGAAGAGTGAGTGTCTATATCTGCATCAACACGATCAAACTTTAAGCCTGGTACTGGTGAATACCTAAAAAATAGAAATCGGTCAGGCCTACATGCAAGTTTCAATCTATTACAATCCGTACATAAACCCGATACGCAGATACATCCTTGATAGCTCGGCAATATCTATAATAGTCCATATATATATATACACACTATAGGATGCTCACTAGCCTATAACATAGTTCAGCCTGGGTAGAAGGTGACATATAAAACACGCTTTTCAGCGGCCAAGTACCTAGACCTACCAGGAAACATTAGCTATATCTAACTACTCAACCTTTGCAATATACGCACCCTAACCGTGATCAGGAGACTCAAGCTCGTATCACGGTACCATAAATATATATATAAATTCCTTCCTAACACAGAAAGATAAAACAAACATCCGTTATGTCGTTCAACTGTTTTAGTTGACAGGACATGCATCCATGTAGGATTTAACTGTTTTAGCTAATCCACTCCGTATGTATGAAGGGGTAGGACTTCGCTTTTTGATCTAATCCATCCCTGATATGTCACCGTCCCATACCGGTACATATAATGCAAATGATCCACCAGTGATGCACATTCATTAGAACATCAAGTATATCCATGAACCAGCATAATAGAAAACAGGTATTATTAAGATCCTATTATGCATCCAATATATGATTATAATCATAGATCCTCATTTTAAATTGTTAAAGTACTGATAAACAATTTAAGCCATCCATTTTCATATAATTGACAGAACAGAAATTATGACAGTTCAGCAATTATCATCCATAACATAATATAATGAAAAACAGAATTATAAACTGCACATTATACTAGAATTCCCAACCAATACATCCATACTAGTTCATTTACATTATTAAAACGAAGACTAGCATATAAATCCTCCTCAATCCTTGTCGGCATGTAAATTAATATTTAATTCTCATGGCGACTATTTAATCCCCAACTATAAGTCCGAAGCATGATCTAATGATACTCAGATATAAAAACTGAACACATTTTATTTGAATGCCAAAACCACCTCCATGCTAGTCCATTTAGTTTTCTAAAGCAAGACTAACAATTACAACTTCCGCTGCTCCTGACAGCATATAATTTAGTATCTAAATTTCATGATGTCTATAACTGTAGTAGAAACCAACATTCCTGGGACCCATACATTATATATTTCATTTATATAACCTCACAAAAACAACTTTTATTTTAGTCCGTTTAATTTACTAGTACCACGCTAGAAATTAACCCTTCCACCCTCTTTAACTGCATGCTTAATTAATAATTAAAAGTCATGACATCCACTCCCATAGCCTCAACCAATAATTCTAGGTCTTTTAATAAATTAAATACATCATTTTAAAACCTCTCCATTAAATTTGCTTAAACATCACGACAAGCAATTTAATTTCTTCCAAGCCGTAAACCGCATGTGAATTTAATTTTAAATCCCAAGTTGATCAAGTTCCTAACATGAATTAATTATTCATGGGTAGAATTAATCATTCTTGGGTATAATCCTATTTAATTACATCATTCAAATCCATTAAACCAAGTTTAAACACACACTGGAGCCCTGAAATCACAAAATTCACGTACTGGGCACTTTATAAAATTGGAGCCCCCTCTAATTTTAAGTTGAGCCGGCTCCAATTTTAAGTTGAGCCGCCTCAACTCTTTGTGGAGCTGGCTCCACTTCAATGGAACCGCCTCCATTGAAGTGTGAAGCCGCATCCACTTCCCCAACCTCCGTTTCTGCTTCCTCTGTGTTGCCTTCTTCGTGTCCAGCAAAGCCTCCGCCCTTTGTCCCACCTTTTGTTAAAGATTTCTAAGGTTCAAATTAAGTCCTAACAAGCCTAGAAACTTCTTTAATTCCAGCATGAATTACCTAGCAAAAGCTTAAACCATGAACGCGACAGTTTATGTTTTCTCCGTTTATCTTCTTCGCGTCCGGCGAAGTTCAACCCTCCGTTCTAGAATTTTTCTTACATTCCTAGGGTTCAATTCAAGTTCATTAAATCCTAGAAACTCCTCAAATTCTTTTGTGAAATTAATGACAAAAATTTAAAATAAAAACACAACAGTTCATAGTTTCAAAAGCGAACAGGGGTTTAAAATTATACAGAGACTCTATCACGCATAAACATCCATTTTAATTATTAAAATAGATTCCTAGAGACTATAGAGAATGCACAGAACACAAGTTTACAGGAAGGAGATAGAATGAAACTTGCCTTTAGATTCCGGTTTGAAATCTTCACCGCCGTCTATGGAGTTTCCAACGAACGGACGACTACCGGTAACCTTCCTACTACTCCAGTTCTATTCTACCATCAACCTCTTCTTTCCTCTGTGGCACACCTTCAGTCTATAGCTAAAAGCTCTCTGTATTTTCCCCTCAAACCTCTCTGTTTCTCTCTTCTCTAGTTTTCCTCTGTTTTTTCTCTCAAGATACTATGTCGTGAATAGGGTTTGTAACCTAGCAGACCCTACTATCTTATATATATATAGGTTCCTTCTAAACCCTAATCCTAATCCCAGTCCATTAATACGTCGGCTACCCTATTATACATAAATTAAACCCTAAACATAATTATAAATACAACACACGTAAATACTCTAAGCTACCAAAAATACATGTCAATTAAGTCACTAATAATCAAATAATTAAATCACAAATACACCAATTTAAATTAAAACACATAACCCATTACAATTAAATAATTAAAGTAAAACAAATAAATATTCACAATTAATCAATTACGCAAATACTAAAATAAATAACAATTTCAAATGCACACAAATCAAATAATCAATTAATCAATTAAAATGCATATAAAATAAATAAATAAATTCCAGTTATATCCTTTTGAGAATTAGGGGTATTACACCCCCTAAGCAAGCAGAGATTAAAAGACTAATCTCTGAAAAAAGAATTGACATAGTCTCAATTGTGGAGACCAAAGTGTCTCCCAAAAATGTTGTTTCCATTCATAGTAAACTTGCCCCTACTTGGAGCATGGTTGAAAATTATTCTTTCTCTGACTTGGGAAGAATTTGGGTGCTATGGAACCCAAACACAATCAATCTCACTGTCATCACCACAACCTCATAAACCATACATTGCTCAATCACAGTGTTAGGGCACAATGTTGGTTTCTTCACATCATTTGTTTATGCTGCTAACATTGCAAGTGATAAGCAGCTTCTATGGGATGATCTAATCCACCATGCTAAGCTCTTTTCAAACTCACCTTGGTTTCTTATGGGTGACTTCAATGTCATCCTAAACATTAGAGAAACTCATGGGGGTTCAATGAGATGGAGCAATGTCATGTCTGATTTTAATGATTGCCTACAAGAAACTGAATTAGAAGACCTTAAATTCAATGGAATTTTCTTTTCTTGGAGCAACAAAAGCATGGGGAATGCTTGCATTGCTAAGAAACTTGACAGAGCTTTGGTTAACCCTAGATGGACTAAAGAATTTCCCATATCTGAATGCACATTCCTTCCACCAAATATATCTGACCACAGCCCAATTATAGTCACATTGGATCTTAGCACCCCAAGGAGACATGTTCCTTTCAGATTTTTCAATGCGTGGTCCACTCACCCAAAGTTCCAATCTTCAGTCCATAGTGTATGGTCTACTTACATCAAGGGTACAACTATGTTTCAGGTGGTACAAAAACTGAAGATGTTAAAGCAGGTGCTGAGATCAAACTGCAAGAAAGATTTTTCAGAGGTTGACTCAGAGTTGCAAGCTGTGAAGTTGGAACTGGATTCCTGCCAAATGGATTTGGACAACACTTCCAGTGATCACAGCCTCAGATTGATGGAGAAGACTCTCACCACTGAATTTCTGAGACTGGCCAATATTCAAGAGGACATCATGAAGTAAAAGTCCAGAATGACTTGGCTTAGACTTGGGGACTATAACTCAAGTTTTTTCTACAATTCAATCTGCTCAAGATCCAATAGAAATAAAGTTATTTCCCTCTCAACTGATTTAGGTCAAACGTTATATGATAAGGAGGATATCAAGCTTCAGGTGGTTGCACACTTCCAGAATATGCTTGGATCCACACCTCCTTGCACCCACCACATCAATGATCTATCACCCTTTATCACAGCTAACCTACCCATTCACTTTCACCACTCCCTTAATGAATCCCCAACCCACATGGAGATACAGAACTGTATGTTGAAGCTTAACACAGCTAAAACACCAGAGCTTGATGGCTATAATGCCGTCTTCTTTCACAAAGTTTGGAATATTGTTGGAAGATCAATCATTTTGGCCATCTCAGAGTTCTTTAGGAATGGGAAATTACTGGCCAAGGCTAACCAAACCTACATTTGCCTAGTACCAAAATGCCAAAACCCTTCCTCTCTACATGATTATAGACCAATTTCATGTGTCAACACAATCTACAAATGTATTGCTAAATTACTTGCAATGAAGCTGCAGGAAACCTTACCAGAGATCATTGACCAATTCCACACAGCTTTCATCCATGGCAGGAAAATTACAGATCCAATCCTACTCACCCATGAACTTCTAAGGGGGTACCACAAGCATTCCAAACCAGCAAGATGTGCCATCAAGATTGATTTAAAAAAAGTTTTTGATTCCATCAAATGGGATTTCATTTTCAATTGCCTCAAGCTCCATCAGTTTCCACATAAATTCACCTCTCTCATTCAGGCATGTGTGACATCCCCATCCTTTACTATTGCACCAAATGGAGAGTTCCAAGGGTATTTTAAAGGAAAGAGAGGACTGAGGCAAGGGGATCCCCTCTCACCTTTCCTTTTTGTTATTGCAATGAATGCTCTCTCTTCCATCATCAAGAACTTTGTGGACAAGGTGCACACCTTCAGATATCATTAGAGATGTAAGGATCCAAAGATCACCCACCTTTCATTTGCAGATGATTTGTTTTTGTTTTGGCATATCCATCTAATTAAACAGAAATTAAGAGTTTAATTAGAGACCTTTCTCAAATGATGAGAGAGAGAGAGGAGGAGGAGGAGGAGAGAGAGAGTTTGTTACCTTTCTGCATGATGTTGTTTTATCCAAAGAAGAGTTAGAAAGGAAGATTGCAGCTGCAAAATATATTTGATTGAGCTTAGATGAGACTTTCTATAGCCAGTTGAACAAGATAAAAATGAATTATGGAGTAATTTATAAGACACCTTGTTAATTTTGACAACCTGGTTTCATGACAGTGGGACTGACATCTTAGTAAGAGTATCATTTTCAATTGCACTCACATTCATTATGTTTGGATGGAAGACAGGTAGTTTAACTTCAGCTTAGGCATTTTTTTTAAATAATCACACTCCCAAATTTGATAAATTGAACAATGACACTCTAAATTAAAATAAAATAAAAATATCTTATGAATTAAGATAAGATAAAAAAAATGTATAAAAATATTTTCTTTAATTTATGAATTAACTTATTTGAATTATTAGTTGAAATCTTTAATTACAAAGGTGACACTGTAGAGTACTCTAGAAGGCCATACCTGATTTGAGTTATATGTGCATGGTGTTTGTGGCAATGATTTGAAGTATCATATCATTTGCCCAGTCAGGTATCTTTCATGGTTAGCCTTTGTTAAAAGCATATTATTCTTGGAATGTGAGAGCTGGCCGGCCCTCCTGAAGTATCATAATATTCTTGGAAGGTGCGATCTGCTAGCTCTCATGGTTATTCTTGGAATACTGAAATCATTTCCCTTTAATTGTGTGTATTAAATTGTGTTTTTTCAAATAAAATAACTCATTTTTATCACTGAAAATAATTATGTTGTCAACAAAAGGGAACACAAACCATGTATATGTTTCAAGTTGTAGGCTATTCTGGTTTTATCGCTCCGAAATGAAAAAGTTAATTTTGTCCATTTAAATACTTTGAAAATATTAAAATAATATATTCATAATTTAAATAAGTCAATTCATAATTAAAAGGATAATAATATACTTTTATCTTAATTTGGGGTGCATTATTTAATTTATCAAATTTGTAAAGTGTTATTGTCCAAAAAATGACTGAGTTATAAATATATGTTTTTAAAGTGTCCCACAATTAAATAGTGAAACTTATTCTAAAGCCACGAGAGAAGTGTGAACAATTTATTTATTTATTGATAGTGGACAATTTGAATAGTGATGTTAATACAGTGTCAAAACCATGTGGGGGTTTTATCCCGTCATTAAAGTTTGTATTGAAAAGTGGCTAAGAAAAGACTTTGATGATTGGACTTCTTATATTTATAATATTTTGTGTTTGGTAAGTTATGTTTAATTTAAAATTGTGTAAGTTATGTTTAATTTTAAATGGACCTCATCTATGATTTGTTATAATTATAGGAAGTTCTTCTGTAATTTAGGAATTTATTCGGACTTATCCTAAAAATGAAATCATCAGACCTCCTTTCTGTTACGTCAATGCGAGTCAAGGACGAATTTTGCTCATGTTATGCATATTGAATAAATTAAAATCCGCGTCTTATCTTCACGCGCCTTAACGCTTTTTTATCCTTTTGCTCGTGCTGACAGTTTCTTCACTAGCTGATCGCAAACCATATGGTTTATAGATACATATAAGTACACTAATATTAGGGGTGACAAAATTTGACATGACCTGCCAACACGATTCAAACACGACACGAATTAAACAAATTTAGGTTGACCTTAAACAGGTTCGGGTTGTAAACGAGTCGACTCGATTAACCCGTTTACTTAATCGTGTCGTGTTTGGGTTAAGGGGTCCAACCTGTATAACCTGTTTATACCCGTTTAACTATACGTATCATAAATAAATTTCTATTTAAGTTTCAAAATAATTATCTAAATTTGTATTTTATAATTTATTCTTTTGTAAATTAGAAATTATTTAATAATTTGGTTGGATTGGAACTTATATTTTTTTAATATTAATGTTTGATCGAGTATTATTATACGTGTAACCTGTTTAATAAATAGGTCGGGTTAGTATTCAGGATTTCTGATACAATTATTAAACGGGTTGTGTTCGGGTTGAGCTGTTTAATAGAATATCTTCAGATCGACACAACACAATTACGACCCGCGAACACATGTTAGACTCACCTTTGTAACTGCCATTGCCGCCGCCTCATCCTTCACCACCCAGTTAAGCACCATCACCGGCAGCGGCAACAAACTTCCCATTGGCGGATGCGAATTCTATGACGAAGCGAAAGTACTTTGGTGATTATGAGTCGGAGATCGGACCGACGAGTTATACTTGTCGACAGCCATGATTGCCTTGGACGGCAAGTAAAGCCACTCTCATATGTGAATTAGGAGTCTCCCAATTTGAACTCACTTCTCAAAGGGATGTCAGGGGTTCAAGTCTCAAAAGAGACAAGCATGTGTGGGTACCAACTAAAAAAAAAAAAATTGAACTCAAATTTGTAAAAATATAGTTATGAGATCTCCTCTTCAATGATTAATACTATTAAATTGATCACACACACACATTGACGACGGCCGTTCCAATACGCCAAACTGAATGTAGTGAATGTGTGGTTCAAGAAAAGCCTTTTATGTCAAATTTAAATTTATAAAAACCACTATCAACACCACTACTAACGTAGCAAGAGTGAGTAGGGATCGTCCCAAGGGATTATACGTGTTGGAATTTCAACTTCGACTCTAGCGTACCAAATAATTGCAAAAGAGAGTTGGGTTGGTTGATTACTTCTAGAAAAGAATTAATTAAAATGCAATAAGATAAAGAGTAAGTAAGAAGGAAAGGTCTTGGGGTGTAGAGATTACCACCAAACAATACTATTCCAAACCATAATCAAGTGACTAATGAGGAAATGAATGTGTTGCAACAATGTTGTGTGTGCAAAAGACATTCAATTGGTAAGGGTGACTCAACAAGTGCAAATTGTCTCAATCAACATGTGTGAGGCCACAATACATCTATTGGTAGAGGAATATATTGTCTAAACATCATGTGAAGATAACAAAATAACAATTCAAGTCATTGAACCTTTCATTAAGCTCATAGTCCAAGCAATCCATAATGATGATTTAGTTAAACATGCATTATCTAAACATCATGTGAGAGGTACAAAATATCTATTGGGAGAGGAATAAATTGTCTAAACACATATGAAAGATACAATATATCATAACTAGTCATTAATCCTTCATTAAGCTCACAATCCACATACAACACAATATTAGAGGAATATGCCATTTGGACTCACAAGCATGGGACATCAAACATCAAGAGTAAATTGTCCTCCCATCTAACATTACACTACCACTACACTAAATCTACACTACTAGCATGAAAATAAAGCTATCTAGACTAGGGGAGAGGCACAAACCATCAAGAATAGACATAAACCATCAAATGAACCAAAATAGCATTCATTAAGCATATCATCTTGATAATCTCTAGATCTATAGCATCAATACACATAGACATGCATCAAAAACACTAAATCTAGAGATAAGCACATGAATATCCTACTCTAGCATACATAGACATATGGATAGAATAGAATAGTCAATTGGAAGCATTAAACCATACAAACCATGAAATAATCAAGATTTATATATACATGAATATCAAGATGTATCATACAACACTAATCCCTCAATAATACACAAGATTAGAGTATAGAAAGCATGCTTGGGTCTAACTCTAGCCCCAAGAGGATGTCTAGCCACTCATGGTAGTGATGATCCAACCCTCAAGGGCTAACTCCATGGCTGCTCCTTGTTGGTGAAGATCTCCTCCAATGGTGCTCTAGCTTCCATCCTTCCTCCTCTCCAAGAATAGCCTCCAAGATGATTTTCAATGTGTGACAAGAGACTCTAGAGACTCCCTCAAAAAGTGTATCATAT